ACATTAAAGTTTAAGTGAGGTTATCACTAAAAATGTAATGGGTAAATCATTGTAGTACTGTAGTTTTGTATTATAGGAACTATTTCTGTACTAACTACCTTAAACCGGATTTATATTAAGGTATAATGTGATAATTGCACCATACTATCGACTGATAACAACGACATAATGAACGGTCGTAATAACGGAATGACGTTTGGCACCCGCAGACCTGCAGGTCCGGCTGTAGCTAGCAGCAAGGTGTAGGATAGTCAATCCAGTATAGATCTATACGCAAACTCACGCTCTCCCTCCAAGAGAATTCTTGCTACAACTCGGGCCATGACATTTAAGGCATGCTCCGATACAGTGGATCACAATTGTTATTGTATTCTTGTATATGTAATGAAATGTTTCTCGTTCTAGTATAGTTGTGTATGTTCTCATAGTATAGTTGTATATGTTCTCATAGTATAGTTGTATATGTTCTCTTCCTAGTATAGACTCATGAATGAACTGACTCATTGATCTAGCAGTTGTAATAGTATGATCCTGTGTTACCCCGATGGTAACTTACTAATGGTGTGTCTAGTACGTATGAATATGGAAGTACTTTTATGTCTATATATGTATATTTGATATATAATTAATATGGAAACGACCTTCGGATGGTCACCCGAAATTCCACCAGACCACATCCAAATCGAGGAAAGGGAAATAGGGCAGGTGGCTTTCCTAAGCCCTTTAAACATTATTTATACATCTATACATATATGGGCATGCAATTTATAAGTAGTAAAACAAAGTTTAAATAAAAGCATTTGATAAGTAAAAGAGTTTGTAAAACATTTTGAAGTAAAACAGTTTGAACAGTGATAAAATCATTGGTTTCCTAGTTATTAATCACATGTGATTAATGCAATCACATAAAAACATTGGTCCCCCCCCCCATAAAGTATTTAAACATTTAAAATCACTTTAAATGTTGATTTAAGGGGTATGAACTCACTTGAAAGTTTTAAGATAGCGAGATGGAAAACCGGGCAGAGTTTCGTCTTGGGAAACGGATTTTTTTTCTCGGGATTCTCGGGAATCTCGGGAGTAAAATCGACCCTCGGGACTTGAGCAAAAAGACCAGAGCTTCGGGTTTGAACGGGCACGGAAATCGAGGCAAGATCGTGAGAGAAAGAGAGAGAATGAGCAAAATTTCCGGAAAGCCTCGCATCCCTTTTATATGGGTGCTGAACCGCCTCGGTACGCTGGGCGTACGAGGGAACGCAGCGCGTATTGGGGCGTCATCGCTTACGTACTTCGGATGGGAGGGCGGGTCGGATGGGACGGCGGGTCGGATAGCTTCGCATAGGGGCGACGTGGACGGACCGAGACCAAGGCCCTCGGGTACGCAGGGCGTACGGGGTTACGCGGTGCGTACCTCGGATGAGGACGCTGACTCTTCCTTCGGATATTACCGGATTTTTGAATTATATATATATATATATATATATATATATATATATATATATATATATATATATATATATATATATATATATAATTTATTTAATAAACTTTAAAAAATCATATCTTCTTCATACGAACTCCGTTTTCGATGGTCTTTATATCCACGCGTAGGTGAGACTACACTCTACAACTTTCGTTTAGACTCCGTTGGCAAATTCCGAAATTATGTTTATTATTTATTTATAAAATGACATGATTAAGGAATTTTTTTAAAAATTCATAACTTCTTTATCTGTCGTTCGTTTTTGCCAGACTTTTTACCGCTGAAATACCATTGACAAGACCTTTGATTCTCGTTTAGGTCATTCCGGCCAAAAGTCGGTCGATCTCCGATTCGAGTTTTTAGCTGTCTGTTGCTAAGCTGAACTTGGAAAAATCATAACTTCAATATACGAAGTCGGATTTGGGCGTTCTTTTTACGTACGATCATGGTTTGATGACATTTAAACATAGAAGAAATTTAAATAGGAACTTTTTGGACTTTTTAATATCGAAGTTAATTTTATTAACTCAAAAGTGGTTACAATACTTGACTTTTTAGGTCATACTAAGATATGAAATATCAGGTTGTCACAATGTGGTACATCACGACCCTACTCAACGAGTTGTAGCATTAACTCGCCGAGTCGGTCAATAGTCCTCTAAAAACATAAATAAACAATATACCTGGAAGCACGGGTGTTACAGGGACAGTGACATATGTGCTCCTAAACCTATGAAAGTGAGAAATGATGATGTGTTGGATGATGGTGATGGCAATTATGATGATAGGTGCATATGTTTCACTGCTAAGAATGTAAGTGACAATGGAAGTCATGCTCATGTATTATATTTGTGCTTACAATTGTTAGATGTGTATTTGCAATCAATTTTGTCATATAAATCAATCCATTGTGTGTTATATGCATATATATAGATGTAGACATGAAAATTGTAAAGAGACGACTAATACATTTTGGAGTATGTAGCGTTCTTGGTCAAAAAGAGCAGTAGAAGTTGAAAGCACAAAGTACTAGTACAAGGGCAGAAACGTCCAATAATTATCTCCCAAAATCAGTTAGTACAAAAGACCATGTTGGAGAAGATGACAAAATAGGTAATAAACACATCATCACCACTGTTTGTCTTATAAAGAAAATGCACCATGCACATTGTTATAAGACAAATTTACAGATACAGATCTAATGGGAAAAATTTGCGAATCGACATTTCTAGAAACTCAAAAGAAGATAGTTAACAAAGGATATTACATTTGTCCTTGAGCTCAGTTTAAAAAGACCATGCAACTTAAAGGGTATTGATAGAATTTGCATATGCATCTAATTCACTACTCATGGTGATTTTTCTTTAATTTTCACTTATTTTTCAAATTTTTGGTGGCTAATGTATGCAACTACTTATTCAAATAGACAACTACATAATGTCACTTTAAAAAAATTTGAATATAGATAAATTCGAAGTATGTTGTTATACTAAACAAACCAAAGGAAGTAAATTGCTATTTATGATATTCTACTTTTATAAGACCACTAAATACGCACAAAACACATTCTAACCCGCACAACACACAAGATGCTTTCTAGTTAATATTAAACGTGTGTGTGTGTGTGTGTGTGTGTGTGTGTGTGTGTGTGTGTGTATATATATATATATATATATATATATATATATATATATATATATATATATATATTCATGTTCATTTGACATCATGCTAATTTTGTGAGACTATGATGTCAAATCTAAAAATAAATTTAAAAGGCAAAATAGAAGGAAAAATCCAAAAAGTCTTTTTTTAATTATTATTGTTGTCACTTTAATTACCTAAAAAATAAAAATTAAAAATTACCGTTTTTTTTTTTTTTGAAAAATACGTGAATATTCCAATAGAATAATATTACATTGTAAATATTCTAATGTGATTTTTAGAATGTTAGAATATTCTATTAGATTTGTCAGATATATAAAATATTGTAATATTTTACACGAATATGTAAAAAAATGTATTATTTTTATTATTTTTGGTATTTTTTAAATTTTTTTGGAAAATATAAATGACGAAAATAGTATTTCAAAATTTTTAATTATTTTGCATTTTAAACATGTTATTTTGAAACATTCCAAAAATACGACCCAAAAATTTGGTTTTTTAAACTTATGAAGTCCCACAGACTCAATCCCACACTGCTGAAGTCCCGCATACTCGACCCCAACTGCTAGATGACAGATTTCCGATCTGTCAACATCAAAATAACACCCAATTAATATTTGGGTTCCACTACATATCTATAATTACATACTTTAGATAATTACTACATTACCCCAAGCTTGGCTTACCCAAGCCTAAGGTCCAATCCATAGGCCCAAAGTCAACTAGGGATCAAAGCCCAACATATGGCCCGATTTTCCAAATTGGGCGGAAACCTCCACATGGACTTCCCTTAAGGCCCAATTGCTCAGTCCAGTCCAACATGTATCATTCTAAGGGTCCAATATCATACAACCATCTAGGCCAAAACTATGGCCCATCTATGGCCCAATTTTCCAAATTGGGCCCAATCCTTCATATGGGCCTTACCCTAGAGCCCAACTTCTTACTCTAGTCCATTCAATTACTCTTGGATGGCAACACAAAGCCCAAGTGAAATTAGGGTTTCTCATAAAATTATAATTAGGGTTACGTGTTTCCCACTTAACCCATTAAGGGCTTAACCCACTAAGGACTTAATCCATTAAGTCCATTATTGCTTAGATTAATTTCTGCCAATGATTATTATTTAATATTTCACTTATTAAATAATTCCCGTGTGTATGTCCTGATAATTTCTCAAATATTAGTATTTTCTCAATTAGCCCATTAAGGACTTAGTCCATTAAGTCCTTTATTCTACTAGATAAATGGAATGAACATTTGGGCTTGATTCACAATCTAATCCCAATGGCCCCAACGTGGGTGCAAATAAGTCCCAGGCCCAAATTCTCATAATTAAGGTTTTCCACCCAAACATGGCCCAATAGGCCCAAAACTAATCCATAAGCCCATTAGGGTTTTGGCTAGGTCCATTCGGGTTTGCTAGCGGGGCACCACCCACTACCACCTCGGGTAGTGGTGGTCTATGGCGGCTTACGGCGGCAATTACCGTATGGTGGTGGTTTTGATTCTTTTCATTAATCCAAAATTCAAGTTACATTTTACAAGGCTAATCTCAATTAACCAAACACACACACTAAACTAATCACGCACACACACACACCATGGCGGCCGGTAGCAGTGCTTGGCGGCAGCCACCACCTTACGGTGGTGGCAGTTGCTGCTTTTCGGAATTCCGGTTAAATAAAACGCACATACAATCTCATAACTACCAGAACCGTGATAACACATGAATACACACCCAAAACTACACCCACATCCGCCTGTTACAGTGACTAGTGGCGGTTGAAGAAGGAAGAAACAACAACAACGAGATAGCGAACACAATAGCCCGTTCAGGGTGGCGACGATGACCGGAGCAAATAGGAGTGAGCCAGCGGTGGCAGATGGAGCTGGGGGGTTTCATTCGCCACCGAAAACAACCGCGAGTGGCAACTGTCTCGATTTCTCACCACCCATCGGACGAACTTCGGCCCGCATCGGCCTAGCAATCCTTGATTTCACCGGCAACAACCAGCGTCACTCGAATGGTCATTCCTATTCCGTCAGCTATGACGAGCACACAACGATAACTAGTCCGCCTCCCTTCACTTCTTGCGATGTCCCTGCAATCCGACAGTCTTCAGCTTTCCGTCAACGTGAGTCATTGGTGGTTATTCAGAGTCTTGGAGCTTCGACAGATCGGGAAGGCAAGAGGGGAGTCGGGTGGTGATGGCGGCTGGAGGAGTGGAGGGATAAGAGTGGTGGCCGCTTCTATCATTTAGGCTTAGGGTGTGGCACCCGGTTATGTTGGGTTATATACCTGACTCACGAAACATTGCCCCATAATGACAAGTCAAGCCCCTCCTTTCCCTCATTTCTTTCAAACTAATACATATTTTACACTTTTAACCCTGCCTTCAGAAATCTTTACAACTGAATCCAAAACTTACCATTTAAGCCGTGATCCCATAAATTTCTTTCATAATAGACCCCTAAATTACCAATAAACCCTTAAATCTTCAAATCTTTTTCTATTTAAATCCATAAATTACTAAACGCACCCTGACCTCCGAAATCCTTTTCAATTTAGTCCCGAACTTTCATTTATTAATTTATTTAAATAAACAGGGTGTTACAACTCTCCCCCACTTAAATTAGATTTCGTCCTCGAAATCATTTCTTACCATTCCTTTCACTTCAAACCACTCTAGTAACATGGTCACCATGTTGGGCACACCCTAGCCTTTCTAGGGTAGCTATGACCAATCTTCTTAAATTCCTCGCAACAAGATAACATTTACTCCGTCTGAAATCCACTATCTCGAGATGATCTGAATGCCTGATAAACCACTCATACTGAATCATTATGGTTGAACCCCGCGGTGGGTGATGTAGTATTACTTAACTATCTGATACACTTACAATAAATGAAATATTTAATTACCATTACTGTTGGAGACCCAAAACTGTCTGAAACACTGATCTGCCTGAAAACACTCAGCTGCTTGAAATACTTAATTGCCTATAAACTGAACTGCATGAAACACTAAACTGCTTGAACGCTGAACTGCCTGAATCAGCATGCTGCTAGATGGCTGCTTTCGAACATCTATCAAGACCTTCCCGGTCTCGATTCATTCGTCAGTCATCTGGAATACCGGTTTCCAACCCGATCGCAGAGCCAAAGGGTTCCCTACTTAGTCACCTCACACAATTTCTGAGCGAAATTCATCTATGAAACTACAGCTACTAGTTATCTTGTTACTGCAACCCTAATAACTTTCTGATCTAACTGATCGAGTCCATACGTCAAATCCAGACGTTACCGAACCCACCACTAAAAGTGATTGCTACATGACCATTGGTAGCCTTATGTCATAAATGACCTTATGCAGTCTACTGCTTCCTTGCTCTCATCTCTGTAGTGGTGCTTCTACAATTTTATCACTAGCTTAACGAAGTCTGATCCGTCTGGGAAACTCCGAAATCCAATATGTGGATTTCCATATCCTCACTGTTATACCTAAACTGGTGGGTACTACTGTCCTTTCCACATCCTAACGATGCACTCACTCTATCTAATAACATAGTGAATGCTAGGGCTACACCCGTAGACTTACAACACTCTATCACTATCTGCTACTAGTGAATGCTACGACTACTCCTGCAGACTTACAACACGCAAACACTATCTGGCTGCTAGTGAATGCTACGACTATACTCGCGGATTTAAAACACTTTAACACTATCTGACTTCTAGTGAATGCTATAGCTACACCCGCAGACTTACAACACTCTAACACTATTTGACTTCTAGTGAATGCTATGGCTACACCCGCAGACTTACAACACTCGCTTGTATCGCACTCAACTGACTCATGTCTTGACTGGAATCCCCAACCGGATTCCATAAGGTTTGCTAGAAAACATTCTGAGAATGCGACCTAATCATTGGCAAGTTTTTCCGAACTTCCATATCACACTCTCCTCAAACCATACAGCCACATGGGCTGTCTTCCTTTCAGACAAGGATGCAAAACTTATCCTAGTCTCAAAACTGCTCCTGCTTCTGAATCCTTCGGTGATTCTCTCCCACTTTGATTCAGCTAATTCCTTACAGCATACCAAACTGGAAGAATTCCCAATCCTTCTCACCACCCATGACCAATCTGCTAGAACTCACGCTTATTCGATCTAAGGTTTCAACACCAACTAATCCAAAAGATCACGCAACTTCTAAAAATTCGAATAAATCTCCGGTAATAACCTGGTAGACCCAGGAAGCTCCGAATCTCAATTGGAGACCTCGGAACTCCCATCTGCATCACGACCTCTATCTTGGCCGGATCAACTAGAATATCATTCTGATTGACAGGGTACCCAAGAAATTACACCCCGCGTAACTAGAACTCATAATTGAAGAACATTGCGAAAATTCTCTCCCTCCTCAAAGTCCCTAGCACCTCCCTCCGGTACTTCTCGTGCTGCTCCTCAATCTGGGAATAAACCAAGATGATGTTGTACTTTTCCAATACTGCAAGTGTTGCACCGAATCTGGTCTTTCTGGTCTCTCGAAAGCTAATCTGAAATCTTGGGTCTCTTCTCGAGACCCTTTTATATAAACAACTGATCTGGTTCCTTTTCCTAATGTGATCCAAGTCCATATCTCGTTCTCAGGCTCAAGAATTCATATCATTCAGGGTCTTGCACCCCGAGATACTCATGATCTCCCTGTTATCATTCTACAATATGTTCTGGTAAC